CCTCCCCTCCGTGGCTCACTTAGCAGAGGCACTTCGGGGGCGCGGGTGAACGCCACGTTCCCGGCGAGCCCCCGCCTCTTGGCAAGGCTAGATCCTCACTCGGGTCCTCCTGTCCAGTTCTCACCACTGTAAAGAGCTTCACACTGTCCACAAACGTTTGTGGATCCCTTACTGCGCTCCAGGAACTGCAGAAACGCTAAAAGGACTCAAATAGAACTCGACTCCTGCCTTTGAGGGGCTCACAGTCCAGAGGCAGGGCTACACGTCCTATTGAAATCAGTAAAGTTCCCAGAGGTGCCTGGCTGGCTCAGTTGGTGGAGTTCGATCTCCTGATTGTAGGTTCAAGCCCTGTGTTGGGTGTAGAGATAACTTAAAATCGTAAAAGAAAAAATTAGTACCGTTCCTCAAACAGTAGTTTGTTGTTACTAGTGTAACAACAACAAAAAACGTGGGGTGGGGGGCAATCAGGGCTTCACCCACTGAATTTTTAAGAGTATTTGGAGGATGGCTGGTGCTGGGAGAGGTCACAGGTTATTCAGGGAAGGGAAGAACATCCACAAACCACTGAGGGAGAAAGGCTCTAACTGGACAACAGAAGGGTTTGAAGTTGAGATGGAAGAGTTAGGAAAATCGTGAAAATTTTGAATAACCAGTGTGAGTCACTAGAGTACCAAGTTAGACAAGTGTCACTGAAGACCTAGGGGAGTTTAGAAACCATAGTGTGTAATGATGCCCAGCTATGATTTTGCCAGCTATCTATAGGTAGATATATAAATATGGATATTTATGATAAAAGCAGTTTGTGGGCTGAGTAGAGGGAGGTGAGCGAGGCAGTTGAGGGTCCGGGAGAATGTGATTGTGGTATTGAACTGGGCGTCTAGTCCACACAGGAAAGGACTGAGAGCAGTGTGGAGCTGATAGACTAGGAAGAAAAGAGACAGAACTAAAGACAAAGGCCTATGGGAATAAGGGAGCTGGCATGCTGTTACCAGCTGTGGTGTTAGCATTGGAGACTTCAAAGGGGAAGTAATTCCAGGAGATGATTCAGTTTAGGGTCTGACATCTGAAACAGAGTCAAATGAGTGGGTCGAGCATCCACCAGGCCAGTGTGTGGGGCACTGAGGTCCCTGGAACTTGGAGGAGTCCAAGGAACCAAATCTTGAGGCCAAGGAACCAAATCATCAGTGAATGTGGAGGAGTGACCCTGAAGCTAATAGATGACGGCAACAAGGATGGGTGGAGGTTGTACGGCAAAAATTCAGTGAGTTTCAAAGCAAAGGGGAGTTTCTCCCCACCAAGAGTAATGTCATGGAAGAAGAAGGAAGGCACTAGGGTTAGTGATGTCAACTTCTGGGAAAATAAACAGAGGCTCCACTCATCAGGAAGTGTATGGAAGCCCCAGGTCTCATGAAGGCCAATAAATAAATTTTTTGAAAAGGAGGAAACAACTTTGGGGTGCCTGGATGGCTCAGTCGGTTTAAGCATGTGACTTCAGCTCAGGTCATGATCTCGGGGTCCTGGGATCAAGTCCCACAACGGGTTCCCTGCTCAGCAGGGAGTCTGCTTCTCCCTCTCCCTCTGCCCCTCCCCCTGCTCGTGCTCTCTCTCTCTCTCAAATAAATAAAATCTTTAAAAATTAAAAAAAAGGAAACACCTTTGAAGGCTGGAGGCATGGAGAGGTTTGTTATGAAACAAGTCTTCCAGAGCATCCTATGGAAAGGACACTCATGAAATGGACTGACATCAATGGTGATATTCCCCTGCCACATATGTAAGGTTTCCTTCCACATTTCAATACTTCATTCCCTTTTCACAGCCAGGACAATTACTATGATCCCCTTTCTATAACGAAGAACCTGAGGCTTAGAGATGTGAAGTGTCCTGACCAAAGGTACATTACAAGTGGCAAAGCCAGGACATCAATGTAAATTGTTTGTCCCCAAAGCCAGATTCTTCACCACAGGATGTGGGGCCTTATCCTTATCTTATTCTATTCCTCTATGTAGCTAACAGATGGAAGATATTTTGTGAATACAAAGGGATTATTATGATAACTATTGTATTATTAATCCAAAATGGGGAAAAAATTGAACAGAAAAACAAATTTGATAACAGGATTCAGACTGACTGATCTGGGTGGGACAAGAATATCCTCATGAATAAACAAGTGTTTATTAACGGCCCACTACCAGCATAGCAATAAGAATAAAAAAAGAGATGAAAACAAAGCCTGTCATTAAGTTGATTGCTCGTGCTCTCTTATAATCTTTTATTTTGAAGGATTCTACCTTTCAGAACCATTGTAAAACTGTTCCCTGGGGAACACAGCCTTTACTGTGGTTTTGGGTGTTCCTGGAGATAAGGCAAAAGTAGAGCTGAATGGGCTGGGCACCACCTCTGCACTATATTTATGCAAGTGAAGAAACTTGAAGGGCAGAAAGGACAAATAACAGGTCAAGGTTATCTATTAGATGGTGACGTTAGAACCTTCATTCCTCTAGGCTTCTGACTGAAATTCTGGTCTCAGTCCAATCATACTTGAAACAAATATCCCTTTTCAGTAGTGTTGACCACTTTTAGGTTCTTACTGACATAAATCCCAGAAAATATTGGTCCTAAGATGTCTCCTGACTTTCAAAGCTGAATCAATACCCAGACTCTAAAAACAGGTTGGAATATCATTGATGCCACTGAACTGTACACTTAAAAATAGTTGAAATGGGGGCACCTGGATGGCTCAGTTGGTTAAGCATCCAACTCTTAGCTCAGCTCAGGTCTTGATCTCAGGGTCGTGAATTCAAGCCCCGCCCTGGGGTCCACACCAGACGTGCAGCCTACTTTAAAAAAAAAAAAAAAGTTAAAAGAGCAGATTTATGTCATATATATTTTACCACAATTTAAAAGATTCATAGTGTAATATACCAAAAACTATTGAATTGTACACTTTAGGTTAATTATGTGGTATGTGAATCATATCTCAATAAAGTTGTTTGGCCTTATTAAGCCAAAATCCTGGACCTGAACTGTGAATATACCTCAGGCTGGAAAACTGGAGAGCAGGGAAATCAGAATCAGAATCTGTCATAATCTGTCCCCACATACTCCCACAGGACACTGGAACTAGGTGAGAGGAGGAGGAATAATGGGCGTCCTTCGCCAACAGATTGCTTAAGACTGTGCTTGTGAAATCTGTTCATGTACTCCCGGCTCTGGAGGGGTAGTTGTTCACTTGACCAGTTTTTTTTTTTTTTTTTTTCATTTACATGTTATTATGGAAAAAGTTAAAGGTACAGAGCAGCAGATATAAAAGTATAACCACCAGCTTGGACAACTGTCAAACCATGGCCAAGCTTGTTTCATCTATATCCCTACCCATTTCTGCCCCCCTTCCTGTATTAATTTGAAGCAAATGACAGACATCCTATCATTTCTTTGGTAAATATCTCAGTACGACTCTCTAAAAGATAAGAACTCCTTTACGTACACACAACACCATCACCACAATTTAAAAATTAACAATCCCGGGGCACCTGGGTGGCTCAGTCGGTTAAGCGTCTGCCTTCAGCTCAGGTCATGATCCCAGGGTCCTGGGGATCGAGCCCCGCGTCGGGCTCCCTGCTCAGTGGGGAGCCACAAGGATGGGTGGAGGTTGTACGGCAAAAATTCAGTGAGTTTCAAAGCAAAGGGGAGTTTCTCCCCACCAAGGGAAGGTCCGGGCGGGTGGTTACCTGCGCGGTGGTGGTGGCGCCGGGAGAGTGGCCGGTGGGGACAGCGCGCTCCGCCCCGCGGCGGGCCCGCG